ACACACACTCAACACACAACCACCTGAACTTGCGGGATGATTTTGTCACCAAATGACAAGGAGAAATAAAGTAGGAACAGCAAGTGTGATTGTGGTTAGACTTTGGGAAGGACTTCAGATAGGGAGGCAGGAGATAGGTCTCAATGAAGGAGGGGTGGAGGAGGAAAGACCTTCAGTCTGGACATCTCCTGGTCCTGGGAAGAGGGGGTTCTGGGGCTGGGAAGAGTGTGGGTCTGTCAATAGACTGCTACGGCCTGGCCTACCGTGCCCCACCTGCTTGTACAGCAGGAACAGGCTCAGCTAACAGGCGGTGGGGACATTCCTCCATGGCCGGGACCTGCTCTTTGCCTGGAGTGTGTGGGAGCGAGCCCAGGTCACTGGGAACGGTCACCCGATAAACAGGACTGGGACCATGCACCCTCCCCCCCTCCACACACACACCCTAACTTTTCCAAGCAAGAGCGGTGACAACGCCTCTCCATCCCCCATCCTTTGACTTAGCCCTGTCGTCGTGCCATTTGCATACATTTGCATACCCAGCTGTGCACAGCTGCCTTCCGCTGCGGGCCATCAATTCGTGGTAGGCGGGTGGCAGAGCCGGCAGGGCGAATGAGCACCCCACGGGGCAGGCTTCGTCTGCCCCGACTGCCGCCGCCCCCACCGCCTCCTGCCACCTTCTGGGCATCTGTCTGCCTCACCCAGCCGCAGGCCGACGACATCTAAGCCACCACTGAGTCTTTCAAGATAGCCTGTGCTCGCTCTGAAGGACTGGTGCAATCTCGTAGATGGTTATCCTACTGAAATGGGGTGCATGCGTTTGGGGTAACCCCCAAACTCCAGGGACTACCCAGAATTTCGAACAAAGATTATGGTGTCTGCTCTGGCTGAAGACATCCTTCGCCTTCTGCTAGCAGCCCTGTGCAGCTTTTTCATTTGTGCGCACTGACCTTCTGTCAGGGGACCGCAGGCTCCCTGCACTCCTTGGATTGCCGGCCTTCCTCAGCTCAGGAGCTGCCGCCTGCCTGGACTGCACTTCTGCCCTCTTGTCTCTTGATCTAACAGAGTTGGTAGTATAGGCCTGCAATCCCAGCTGCTTGAGGAGTGAAACAAAAGGATCAGAAATCCAAAGCAAGCCTGGGCAATGGAGAAAGACCCCATTAAAAAATAAATTTGTGCTCCCTTCAGCAGCACATATACTAAAATTGGAATGGCACAGAGAAGATTAGCATGGCCCCTGCACAAGGATGAAATGCAATTAGTGAAGCGATCCATATTTTTTGAACAAGTTCCAGGACAGTCAGGGATACGCAGAGAACCCCTGTGTCTCAAAAAAAAAAAAAAAAAAAAAAAACTAATAATAAACTAAGCAGTGGTGTCGTACACCTTTGATGCCAGCACTTGGGAGGCAGAGGCAGGTGGATCTCTGTGAGTTCCAAGCCAGCCTGGTTTTCAGAGCTAGTGCCAGGATAGGCTCCAATACGAGTGCCAGGATAGACTTCAAAGCTACACAGAGAAACCCTGTCTCGAAATACACCAAAAAAAGAAAAAACTACTACTAATAATTTTTTAAAAACTGTCTTGCTGGACGTTGGTGGCCCACGCCTTTAATCCCAGCACTCGGGAGGCAGAGGCAGGCGGATCTCTGTGAGTTCAAGGTCAGTCTGTTCTACAGAGCAAGCTTCAGAACAGTCAGGGCTACACAGAGAAGCCCTCACCCCACCCACCCAAAAAATGACCTCAGATGTTAGCTGACCCTAACACTCTGGAGGCTGAGGCAGGAGGATTATCTTGAGTTTCAGTTCAGTCTGGGCTACGAATTCCAGGCCAGTCAGAGTTACATAACGGGACCCTGTCAGAATAATAATAATAATCAAAGCTTATTTTAAAAGGCTGGGGATGTAGTTCAATGGTAGAGCTGTTGCCTAGCATGTGCAAAGCCCTGGATTCTTTCTATAGAAGTGATCTCACACACCTCAAGATAAAATGAGCTTTCTTCCACCATCCTTTTCTCGGACTCTGCAGAAACATTTGGTCACTTGCACTCCTCAGATTGTGAGCTCTATAAAGACAGGAACCATGTCTGTTCTTTGCTGTGTCCTACTTTGGGCCACAGAGTCTGGAGCCCCAGGGGCACTCTAAGACAGTGGATGGTGAATTAGCCAGTGAAGCCGGATCCTTTCAGGCACCAATGCTTAGCAGACACTCCAAGGTCATCCAGGCAGCCTCAAGGATAACGGAGGAAACCTGCATAGGAGACCCTCCCTCCTATGAGGCCTGTCTTCTACTCAGTTCTCCAAGCCACCACTCCACCCCACCCCACCCCCACCCAAGACTTGAGGTGAGAAACCTGGGGCGTGGGATGCAGGCCGCAGGGAAAGCTCCAGACTGGGCCAAGGGGCCAGGGATCCAACTCTGGTGGGGCTGGGCCATAGAAGCAAAGCCTCTTCCTCTGAAGCTGATCCTGAGCTACAAAATGGGAATGACCCTTGTAGACCCCACTCAGCCAGAGAATGAAACTCTTACTGCGTGTACGAAAGGTCGGGTTCCCCAGGCTTCGGGTGGGGGAAAGGGCCGTCGCTTGCTCCTGTGCCCGTGGGGAGAAGAACACGTCCTTGGCCACCCTGGCATTGGGCTTGAGCTCTGCCAGCATCCAGCTGTGTTGGGACTGGCTGGGCCAGGTGGTGCCTGCTCTGGTACTGAGCCGACCTGCATGCGATTTCCACCATGGCTGCCAGGGGGCAGCACGAAACCCCAAATGACCTCCGGCTGCCTGACCCCACCATTCTCGGGACTGGCCCAGCTGCTGTGTTCTCCTAGTGGCTCAACAGTTTCTCATAGTGGTCACAGGCCCTAGATTGGTGGCCGAGGACTAGCTCCTTTGGGAAAGGAGTTTCCACGGGGAGTCCTGCCAGAAACAAGCCTGGCTTGGATATAGGTGACCTAGGCGCATCAGTTTCCTCTGATCTGGGAAGAACACAAAGGATGCAAACGGTCCAGGTAGACAGGAGTAATAAATGAAAAGCATTTGAAATGATGGATATGTTAATTTGATTAAATTATCTCATACTTTATATACATGTTACTTTGAACCTTATAAATTTATACAAGCTGGGCAGTGGTGGTACACACCTTTAATCCCTCGCTTGGGAGGCAGAGGCAGATGAATCTCTGTGAGTTCGAGGCCAGCCTTGTCTACAGAGCAAGTTTCAGGACAGCCAGGGCTATTACACAGACAAAACCTGTCTCGGAAACCAAAAATAAAAATAAAAAAATTCTGATTACAATAAAAATAAAACATTGTGGGAAAAATGAAAGCATGAGTGAGTGCTTTAACCGAACCCCTCAGGAAACTGATAAATGGTTGGTGTGACATCATACATCCTGTGCAGCAACAAAACCAGCATACTTGTATTTCGGTGATACTAGGGGTAGTGCAGCCTGACCTCATCGCTTAATGACTCGGCCACCTAGCCCAACTTCAACACTTAATGGTCCTGCCCAGAGCCTAAGCTGTTCAGGGGCTTTGGTGCTGACAGAAGAGGTCACCTCTGAGTTTATACTGCCCACTCTCTCACCCTGCTTATCCTGACGTTTTGTGTGCCCTGGGCTCCTCACATGCTTGATACCCTTCCAGTTTGTACTGCCCCTGCGCTCTGGAATCTTGCCTGCAGTTTTCTGCTTCTGGGTGGCATGACTAATTTTATATGATGCTAAGGACCAAACCCAGGGCGTCGCACTTGTTGGAAGTATTGTACCAACTGAGCCACATCCCTAGCTCCCTCTTTTCCTCTTTCCTCCTACTTCTCCAGGGCCTCTCTCAGAGCAGAGGACTTGAAGGCCCACACTAAGGAGCTGAGGTGGGTATTGCTTAGGGACAGAAGTGCAAGCTTGGAGAGGAGCTAGGAGAGAGAGAAAGCTAGCTGTCCTTTTTCCATAATGACTTCTTCCTCTTGACTGGGAAAGAAATCCCTCTCAAGTAGCAACACAAGCACTATTCCCTCATTTTCATAATGATCTGCAGATTGTGGGCTGCTTTGAGCTTTTCAGGCAACTGCTTCCTGCCCATTTCCACTAAAGGTCTCAACTTAGACTAGCTGGAATTTAAAGTCAAGTGAGCAAAATAAATTCAAATGAATCCTTCCCTCCAACTCACCCACACCCAGATGCTCCCATTTCCTTGGAGGGACCCAGAGTTGTTGTGAAGAACCTGAGGGGTCACTTGGCCCCCAAGATCTCTAATAGGGATTTGGTATCCTTACCTGTGGCTACTTGAACTGCCAAGTACTTGCCCCCCCCCCCCGATTCCCTTTCTGGAGCAGGCCTGGAGGTAGAGGGCATCCAGGCTCCCCAATTTCCTCACTCTAGGGTATAAATTCAAGCCATTGGAGATACACAGGGGCCCCTAAAATTACCTATGTCTTCTTCAGGTTTCTAGGGAGCTCATGGAGTTGAGAGTCCTGTCTCAGAACACTGGAGGGCAGCTGCTGAGGTGATTCATCACCCAGAGCTCTTTGGGAGTGATGTTCTAGCTGCTGTGTTTGTAGAGAGTGAGGGTCAAGACACAGAAGTCCATGCGTGCACCCCCCACGGGCGTCCTCCCCCTTGAATCTGTTCAGCACACATAACACATCTGATTTCACTAAGTCTCTCACCTTTGCCTTTCGCCCATTTTACTCATCTGCTCATTTTCACAGGGACAAGTCTGTTTCTCTCTCACTCCTCCTCCCCAGGCTTGTACTTTGGTCCCCAAGCTATATGCTGACCCAGCTCTTTAATCCATGCCCCAAACTCCTCTGGTTTGAGGTTTGAGAAGGGGAGGGTGGGGTAGGGAATGGGATGCCAGGGACATAGCTCGGTTGGTAGAGTACTTGCTTTTGCCTAGCTTGCATAAGGCCCCAGCAGCATAAAACCAGGTATGGTGGTGTATACCTAGAATCCCAGCACTTGGGAGGTAGAAGCAGAGAGATCAGATATTCAAGCTCACTCTTGGCTACACAGAGTTTGAGCTACCACCACCAACACTACCCCCTCCCCTGGGCATCAGGTTTCCAGTTGCCTACATGCTCCCCAAGGCTGATGAATGGGACATTTTTATGGACATGATAAATGGAACAAATATTTCAGAGAGAAATTAGGCATGGTGGTACATGACTGTATTCTCAGCATTCAGGAGTCTAAAGTCAAAGAATAAGAGTTCAAGGCCACCCTAGGCTACATAGTAAGATCCTGCCTCAAAAAACTGTCCAACAGTTTTGTTTTGTTTTTTGTTTTTTGTTTTTTTGTAACAGTGACTTCCAGTCTTATGGCAACCCCTGACCCGAGATGGCACTGACCCAAAGGTTATGAAATTCTTGTAAGTGGCCGGGCGTTGGTGGTGCATGCCTTTAATCTCAGCACTTGGGAGACAGAGGCAGGCGGATCTCTGTGAGTTCGAGCCCAGCCTGGTCTACAAGAGCTAGTTCCAGGACAGCCTCCAAAGCCACAGAGAAACCCTGTCTCGAAAAACCAAAAAAAAAAAAAAAAAAAAAAAAAAAAAAAAAAAAAAAGAAAGAAAAAGAAAAAGAAATTCTCCTAAGTGGCCATGACTGGACTGGAGGGATGCTACAGTGGTCACTTGCTTCTTGTCTTTGTTTTTTGGTTTTTGTTTTGTTTTTCAAGGCAGGGTTTCTTTGTGTAACCCTGGTGTAACCTTGGAACTGACTCTGTAAAACCAGGCTGACCTTGAACTCACAGAGATCCTCCGGTCTCTGCCTCCAGAGTGCTGTGATTAAAGGTGTGTGCCACTATTGCCTGGCTTAAAAAATTACTGTAAAGTGGCCATTAGTTGGTGTGGGGTGGGACTATGTTGAAGACAGAACCCAGAGCTACATGCATGCTTAGGCATATGCGGCTCCACTGGGCTAGTCCTCCAGCCCTGACAGGTCTTTCAAGGTCAGGAATTCCTGCTTTACACATCATTGCTGAATGAGGACAGCTGAAGATAGACACTAATTCCCAGGATGCAATTTCCCCTTCACTAGAGTCCGAAGTGAAAGCAGAAAAGAAGTATTCTTCTCCCCTGTATCCCTCTTCCTTAATCCCTTTATTAGCTCTGACATAAAAAAGGAAAAGAACAACCAGGAACCAAGAAAGGGCCATAGCAGGAAAAGGGGCGGCAGAGGGAAGAAAAAAGCCCTCGGAGCAAGCCTGATGTGTAGCAGGGCTGCAGCTGCAGCTCTGCAGCAGGGCATGGTGCTGCTTTCTCTTAGGGGCCTCTCTCCATCTGCAGCTTCCTACAC